TATATATATATATATATATATATATATATATATATATATATATATATATATATATATATTTATATATATAGTTTTCATACTCTACTTTTAACCCTGATCTTTAATCAGAGTAGGTTATGGATTATACTCACCAAATATTTCTCAAAATCCGAGGGATAGTTTTGTTGGTATCATTTTTGTCATAAACGGTTTTCGGGCATCTCGGAAAAATGTTTTCAGAGATCCTGGAACAAAGAACAAGATAGAAAGTGGAACCAATCTTGAGTGAAGCACAGATGGGCTTCAGGAAGGGAAGAGGGGGCACAGACGCCATCGTTGCCCTAAGCCAAATCAGTGAGAAAGCCATAGAGTACATTAAGGAGCTGAATCTGGTGTTTGTTGACCAGGAGAAGGCGTTCGATTGCGTGAACAGGTAGAAATTATGAACAGTGCTAGAACAGTATAATATCAGTGACCAACTACTTGATAACATCAGGGCCTTCTACAAAAACTGCATGGGTGCAGTCCGTACGCCGAACGGAATCGCAAACTAGTTTGAGGTACGGTCGGGGTGAGGCAGGGCTGCGTTCTGTCGCCTCTCATGTTCATCATACGCATGGACAAGATAACAAAGCAGGCAAACCCAAAACCAGCAGCCCTCAACGAACTCCTATTTGCAGATAATCAAAGCCTTATTAGTAAAAAGACAGACATACTGCAAGAAAACACCACAAACTTGAACATTGCTTGTAAGGACTACGACATGAAAATCAGCATCAACAGAACAAAGTTTAAAAACTAGCAGACCACCTGGAATGGTGTACTAGTAAAAATGTATCATATTTAACATTTTTATGTCGTTATGACGTTATATGACGTCATTATGACGTCATTAATGTGATTTTGATGGCCAACCGTCTAGATAGGTTATTCTCTGAAAACTAAATAATTTACAACATAACTTTACCAACATTGTTTATGGCAGAATATTAGGGTGTACTAAGTCTAATGTTGCCCAGAGCAACACCAGTGACGTCCTAAAATGACGCCATGCATATTTAAGATATCCGCTATCTTGGAGAATCAATCTTGAATTTACAACATTTTTTTTCATGATAAAGCCTAAAATACACTGTAAACATACTAAAGACCTTCATTTAAACCTTTTTTGGATAAAGAAATGGAATTATTGACAAAATTTTTAGGAAAATCACCTGTATATACCTGTTCTAATGATATGGTCCGCCATCTTGGATTTTGACCAATGACGCCATCAAATTAGATAAATTATGCATATTTAATGATAAAACTTACATAAAATTATATGGGATGTTATTACTATTATGTTACGAGTAACTTGGCATAACTATTATGTTGTTACTATTACTGTTGATTACTAAATTTAGCAAAAGATGAACCCGTTGCCATGGAAACACAAACATTTTTTATCTTTTGCCAATGATAGAGACTTGGTGCCAACAATATTCTAGGAAAAGTCACCAAGTTTGGTCGTTCTAGCGCTAGCCATTCAGACGCTACGTGACATCAAAGTTGGCGCGGGCCCCGTCTACGTAGGGTTAAAACAGGTTAAAGAATTCAAATTCTTGGTACCATCTTCACAGAACTGGATAGAGAAATAGAGACCAGAGTCCAAAAAGCAAACAGTGTCAGTTACAAACGTGTGACGCTCCTGAAGCACCCCAGCATCCCCATGGAAACCAAAGCCAAACTCTCCAACTTCATCTTCCTGCCAACCCTGACGTATCAGTGCCAGACCTGGACTTGAGTAAGCCCTTAGAAAGAAAATTCATCACCAGTGAAATGAGGTGCCTGAGACGAGTTGTCAACAGGACCAGACGTGACAAAATCAGAAGCACCACGATTTGACAGATGGCAGAGGTTAGGTCAGTCCGAGAGTTTATTCATAAACGACAAATTAAGTGGTTTGGACACCTGATAAGGATGCCACCGCAAATAGTGCCACAAAGAGCATATAACAGCAGAAAATCTGGACCCAAGGCCAGGAGACGTCCAAGGAAGAAATTGATATATGCCGTGAAGAACAACCTAAACAGGCATGGCCTTACGTCAACAACAGCCTCCAGACTCGCCGTCAGGCGCCAAGTGCCCCTTCCTACGACACCACAGATGGTAGAAGTCGACGGATAAAGTAAAGTGTCAGAAATGGAAGACCGGTACTAGAGAGTTGTTCTGTTGGTTGGTCATTTCTGTCTTGCTCACAGTAAAGGTTACAGTTAAAAAAACAGACTTTGTGCGTTAGTCTCTATTTTGTCTCTGATTGGCCATGGACGAGTCCAGCTATTCACAGTCACTGCCCATCAGTTTCTAAAAGGTATGTGTTACCCCATCCGCCAGCCCAATAAGGGCGCAGCAGCGTGGCTCAACCTATGCTGTCATCCAGTAACCGATTATGACCGGCTTCGGGTGCGACCTAACATAAACCACGTAAAAAGTTAGTTAGTTGGAAAAAGGTAAGATAGGCTTTTCAACGTTAATTTCGCAGCCTTATTTCAAATTGGGAATTTCGTATTTTTATTTAACAAAACTTCAACCGCACGTTTGGAATAGGATATAAATATGTACTAAGACCGTTTGTGTCTGTTTCAGTATAGCTGGTATAAACGCCCTTAGGCGTGACACACCAGATTCACAGGCACGCGGCGCGGTGGCAGCTTGCTACCTTGAAAGAACGACTATATTTTAGCCGGTACTAGCACTTAGTAGGTGGTACGTCTACCAGTTTATTAGTCATTTTACATCATGTAGAGTCTGCATTTTTCTTGTTAGATAATGTGTTACTGTAGTTTAAATATATCATCAGTTTGCCATTTTAAAACTATTTTTCCATTGATTTGGCAAATACTAGTAGTGTTAACGCGTCTAACTAGCTATCAAGGGCTAGCCCGGGAAATAAATTCATTGTGTGCTTATTGATACAAATTATCAATAAAAGAAGAGTCTGAAAAGTCTGAAAATTACGTTACCCTGCTACACATAAGATCAGCATTATTATCAATAGTAGGGAATATCTAGGTTCTACGCACTTTCTGTGGTCTGCGATAAACAGAAAATGTTTAAACCGTATCTAGATTGGGCTTTTTTGGGATTCGTCAGACTCATAAAGGGTATATTGTTTGACCGCCAAATTTACAGAAAATGGTGTGCAAGGACAAATAAATCATAACAACAATTGTTGATGTCGTTATAGGCGTAATATGTCGTCTTTAGGCTAACAGCCAAAACAGTCAAAATAGATTGGACTTTTAACCCTATCTAGACCAGGCTTTTTTGGCTTGGTGGGACCGGGGGGGGGGGACTCATTCGATCCCCCTCAGAACTCGCGAACGATATGTTGTATGACCATCAGATTTTCAGATGGTCTTATCATAACTACTATTTTTATGACGGCATAAGGTAATGTGACGTCATTATGAAGTCATTTATGTGATTGTATTGGCCCAAACCGTCTAGATAGATTATTCCCTGAAAACTAAACGGTACTTTACCAAAAGTCTTTATGACAGAATATAAGGGTGTACTAAGTTTTATGTTGCATCACCGCTACGTCATAAAATGACGTCATGCATATTTAAGCAATACTTTATCTTTGATCATCAATCTTGAATATAAAACAAAGATTTTTTAAAGGATAAAGCCTTAAATACATTGTAAACAGAATAAAGACGTTCATATGAACCTTGTTTGTAAAACGAAATGGAAGTATTGGTGAAATATTAAGGGAAATATCCTGTATATACCTGTTCTAATGATATGGTCCCCCAGGTTTGATTTTGGTCAATGACGTCATCGAATTTGCAAAATTATGCATTTTATTCATAATATTTACATAAAATTTTATGGGATGTTATTCATTTTAGAAACCATGTGTAACGTTACATAAAACCCATAAAATTCTATTGTTGAAAAGAAAATTACTAAATTTAGCCAAAAATGTTAGAAACCCGTTGCAACAAAAATCATTATCTTATTCCAATGATGCAGAATTGTTGTCAACAATATTTTAGGAAAAGTCACAAAGTTTGGCCATCCTAGCGCTAGCCTTTCAGACGCTAGGTGGCACTTTTAGCTCCCACACCGTCTAGATAGGGTTAAACCTTAGTAACATACAACATAACTTTAAAAAGTTAATTGTGGTCCACTTAAATTTGTTTGGCCAAAAGCAACTCCGGTAATTAAAAAACATGGCGCAATTTATATTTATCCACAGTTTAAGGGGAGGGGGGGGGAGTGCCCACGCCAACTTGGATGTCGAATAACGTCCAAACGGCTTGTGCTAGGGCCACCAAACTCAGTGACTTTTCATAAGATATTGCTGCTAACAATTTCCTATTAGTGAGATAAATTTGATGAAAAATTAAATTGTGTTGCCATAGCAACACGTTTCTCACAGGCATTTTTGCAAAAATCAGTAATTTTGAAATTTTTAGGCTTTTATGTTAATTTACACATGCTTTCTAATATCAATAACATCTTATATATTTTCATGTAATTTTAATCAAAACCAATAATGCATAATTTATGCTAATCTGATGACGTCATTGGTCAAAGTTAAAGATGGCGTACCATATTATTAGATCAGTTTAGAGCTGTGTACCGGTACGCAGTACCGATACTGTACCGGAAAAATTGATTAGGTACAGGTCCAAAATACCTAATCCCTCAGTACCGGTACTGTACCTAAACAATTTCACACTAATTTTATGCCTATTTGTGACCTCAAATGTGTAAATAGCTGGTCCACAATGGGTCCCTCTGTAAGGACAGTGTGTTCATGAAAACAAAAACAACTTAGTTTTGCCTATATTTTATCTGAGCATTCGCCATAAACAAAGAATAAACCTTAACTATCAAGTTTATTTATGTTTTTTTGTTATTGAAGGAGTTCAGAAGAGCATATAAATTGGTCGAATTGTTCAGGTACAGGTTCAGGTCCGGACCTGTACCTAAACCTGTGTACCTGTACCTGTACCTGTACCTAAAATTTCTTTAGGTACACAGCTCTAGATCAGTTACATTCCAGTTTTTTTATCCCAACTACGATTTTTTACAGAAAAGGTTGATTTGAACCTCTGTAGTCCATTTCCATTGTAGTTCAAGGCTTTATGTTAAAAAGTATTTTCGAAAATTCCATATTGACGATCAAAGATAGCGGGCAGTTTTAACGGGGTGTTGCTATGGGCAACATACGATTAAGTACATCTTAATAGTCTATCATAAACACTTGTAAAACTTGTGTTGTATACCATTAGGTTTAAACAGATAGACGGTTTTAGGCAATGAATCACATAAAAGACGTCATGATGACGTCATATTACGTCCAAATGATATAAAAAATTGTTGAAATGATTGATTACAACGAGTACCATACTAAAAAAATTTGGCTGTCATACGATACTAGTATTTGGTGGTCATACGATATAAAATATCCATATTCCTTTACGCATGTGAAGCTTGGACTCTGACAGCCGAATTGCAAAGGAGGATACTGGCAATGGAGATGTTACTAAATACTTTTAAATGTAACTTACAATGACCACGTTACCAACATGGAAGTCAGGAACGTCATTAACTAATCTCCAAGCAGATCTTTTGTTGGGCGTAGGACAGTATCAAATTGGCCAGCCTGTAACCATTTCCCCACTCAAGATCTGCCTGCACTCGCAAAATGGTGTTGATGCCCCTTCTTGTGCCCCTATTAACAACTGTCAAAAATTTGTTGTGCTAATTTTACAAGCTGTTTATGACTTGAATCTGGGACAAATGCAGTCACCCGCGCACATCTCAGTGGGAGTTCTCGCTTACCCCGTCCAGATAATACTGTATTCTGGTACTAAAATATGCTGGCTGAAACATAAAAATGTCAATAACTTGGTTCCTTGTGGTTTAAATCCGCAGATTTGATTTGATTTATTAGGCTGAATGATGCAGTCTAACGGTAGGGTTAACAGGTTATGAAATCTGGCCTAGACGTCATGCATTTACTATAATTACGCTGTGCACTATATTTACATTGTCAATACAATTCTTTTGAACTCGTAGAGTTTTGCCGTCAAGTAGTTGTCGTCAAGTATTTATCAAGTATTGTCCATAGTTTGTTTTTCAAGGAGCTGATGGAGGGGGCTGTTCGGGTTTCGCTAGGGAGAGTATTCCAGATGGTTATAGCTCTGATCACAAATGTTATCTGGGACCTGGTGGTTCTACAAACGGGTATGGATAAGTGTTCACTATTCCGTAAGGGATACCGGGATTCTGTGGCGGACGCTCGCGCTCGAGGTAGCAGACTTTGCAGGTGTGGAGGACAGCGACCGTTCAACAGTTTGTACATGGTTACTGCAGTGTGAAACTTGCGTCCAAACTGGGTGGTAGATACAGTTCGGTGTAGAGACTATTGTAGGAAGGGTATGGTATCCCAAAGTGACCACTGATATGCCTGGCTGTTTGGTACCGAACAGATTCCAAAGTCCTTTGGTCACGTAAAGTGAAAATACACAAAACATATGTTAGAACTTCTTTTACTTTAGTTAAACTGTCCAAAATACCATTTGGTGAGAGGACCCATAGAGAGACTTCCTGAAATGCTCAACCAGCTGGCCCACTAGGAGGGCAAGAGCCTTGCCTGGTGGTCAGGGCAATAAACTACTTGGCAAGAATATTTTGATCAGGCAACTAGGTGTTGATAGCCTATGACGTTTCGACTGCAGGTAGATCTTGGGTGGGGAAATGGATACAGACTGGCCAATTTGATACTGTCTTACCCCCACCAAAAGAACTGCTTGGAGATTAGTCATTAACCAACCTACCGGAAAAAGTCACCTTGAAGATCTCCTTAGTATGATTAAGAGAAGCAAGTTAAAATGGTACGGCCATGTGACTAGAAGTAAAGGGCTCTCCAAAGTTATACTACAAGGAACAGTACCAGGGGAAAAAAGAGGGAGATAAAGGAAGAAATGGGACGACAATCGCAATGAGTGGACCGGCTTGCCCCTTGCCAGCGCCCAAGCGCCGGCTCATGACAGAGAGGGATGGAGAAAGGCTGTGTGCTCAGCCACTAGGTGCCCCCCGCCACCCCCGGTCAAGGCACCGGTAAGACGATATCCCTTCTTTTTTTAGTTCTGAAGGGGGTCGAAGGAGCACAAACCCCGCAGTCCCAAAGATCCCCCAAAAGTCCAGTCTAGCTAGGGTTAGCGTAAGCTATCTGCCATCTTTGATGTAGTGATGAAATTTAAAATTGTGGTGATAAAATTTAAAAAAAAGCACCTGTGTTTTCCTATTTTTGACAAACTCTGTCATCGAATCAACATAAATTATGTGTTTTTAATTATAAAAATTACATAAAATTACATTGTTGATAGTAAAAAGCGTGTTCAACCAGACAGGAAACCCATACAAGTCTATTGTTGGGTTGATAACGAAAATTACTGTTTTTCGCAACCTTGGTTCTAACGCAAGTCATTTATACGTTATCTGACATTTACGTTGTCGCGAGCACCCCTATAGTCTAACGATGTTATAGCGGGTTATAGCCTAACGATGAGGAGCTGCCCGTGCGTCAGGTTGACTACAGTCCCACAGTTGGATGGGCCTGTTACGGGACCTGTGGAACGAACTTCTGGCGTTGTTACGCTTTTTGGAATTTTCACAGAATACTTGTTTCCGTTTCTAGAAGGATATCAAGATTTAGTGGTTGATGACCTGGTAGTTGGTAAAATACTAGGAAGGCGTGTTGGAATGAGTCATTATTTTCTGAGGGTGGTCAGCGTATGAAATTTGTAAATGCTATGCTTTAATGTTTTTCATTTTATACTTATGTTATGATATGTAGGTATTGTCAACTGCTATATCTATTTGCAGTTAATGAATATTAAGCCGTGGAAGTAAAGGAGCTGCCAGACTAGCGATGATGGCACGAAGAAGGGCAGCAATCCTTTGCACAGCTGTTTTCGTCGTCACCTTACTCTTGCTGTTACATCGCTACATGAAAGGAGAAGTATTCATTGGGGGTATCCAATCTATGAGGCAAGTCCTTAAAACAGATATCTTCTATCTACATTTGCATACCAACATCTGCTTGGCTTTATTGACCAAGCAACCCCCCTTTTTTTCAGTTTCAAAAAGACTGAAGAGGCCATATTTTATACCAAGTATAAATTGTTTAACTCTATTAATCTTTTGTCAAATCCAATACGCGAACTAGTAGAGTTTATTTCTGGTCGTAAAGTCATCTCTGTAAACACAGCAATATTATGTATGATTGGATATTAAATATTTGAATTTTCCAAACAGGTCCCCACCCTTATTCATTTCAGGTCATTTGGCTGAAAACCAAAAGTTAAATAAATAAATATTAAAATACAAACGGATAAATAACATGACTATGTAAAGGTTTCTATCATAATAATGTATTTTACTTACTTTTCAGAAACAACTTAAAGATAGATAGGTCAAGTGCCATGAGATGTTCAGCAAAGATGAATATTGTTTTCCTGAAGACTCATAAAACGGCTGGTTCTACAGTTCAAAATATACTCCTGCGGTATGGACTGGAGAAAAACCTGACGTTTGCCTTACCAGCTGCTGGCCATAGGTTTTTTTGGCCTGACTACTTTAAAAGGTCATCTGTTCTACAGGAACAACAAAAAAGGAGCAAGACTGTCTACAATATACTATGTCACCACACCCGCTTTCACTATGCCAACATGAGGGATCTCATGCCTGAAGACTCAGTTTACATTACGGTGGTACGAAGTCCTGCTGCAATGTTCAGATCTGCTTTTGAGTATTTTCATTTAAAGAAAAATACAATATTTTCCAGCCACATGCCATGGACGTTTTCTTTCTAGACCCTCGTATTATGTTGGTCCATACGGAAAGAGGCCATTTTTTCGGAACCCAATATTTTTCGACTTGGGATACAGTCCTGATCAGCTTGTGTCAGAAAAGTTAATCAACGAAGCAATTGAATACATAGATGGTATTTTTTCCGTTGTTTTGGTGTCGGACCATTTTGAAGAGTCCATGGTGCTGCTACGACATACTCTATGCTGGGATCTTAATGACGTAACGTATTTTAAGCTAAATGCAATGAAGACACCATCTACAAAGTACGTCTCTACAGAGACTGAAGCGAAGATTAAACAGTGGAACAAAGCCGATAGTATGCTGTTTGATTACTTCAACAAATCATTATGGCAGAAACTCTCAAAGCTTCCTTTTGATTGGATAAGAGAAGTAAAAACAATAAAACAGAAAAATAGACTTTTACACGTTAAGTGCAGTAATATCAAAACCAAGGATTTAAAACTTTTGGCACCACCCGGACTATCTGTTGATGGTAATGTATTAAAAGAACTTGAACAAAGAAATAAAACTTGCGTTTACATGGCTAAACCAGAAATACCATTTACTCAGGAGCTTAAGAGGAAATATCAAAATTATATTAAGAAATGAAGTAAAGACGACATCTATATTTCTACATTTTAAGTACTTTATTCTACAAACTTTTCATCTAATACCTATCCATCTACAAAAACAACTATATTCATTCGTAAATATTGTCATTAGATTTGTAGAGTATAGGATATAGGGGTTAACATTTAAACAACGATACAGTCAGGAGGTTGAAAGTTTGGAAGAACACATTGTCAGGGAATAAAGAGGCAGACAACATTGACACGGTGACATAAAGTGGCTCAATGCTTTCTGGATTAGGAAGTCGATCCCAGTGATAAACCAGGACGAGGGGGTTTAAACTCAACCACGTATAGTTTAAACCCCCTCGTAAAAAAGTATTGAAGTTATAACAGTTGTGTGTATCGTTTGTGTCTTATATGAGTATGAGTTCCTAATAAGCGTTTAATGATCACCCCTTTATAAGTACAGGTTTTTGCACTTTTGACCGGATCCACGCCATCTTGTTTGTCCTTGCATGGATTGCATGTTTACAACACCCTGTATTTTCTTGCAGATTGGAAACTTTAGTTCATTAAACACCAATAGTTGAATCCATTAAACGAAATGTATAGAATAAGGATTTGGAGGGAAAATGGACATTTTTAGGCATCCATTAACGATTCTAATCAGGCAATCAGCAAGAACAATACATAGTGCCACGCTTTAAAAATGCTGCATGCCTATTGGCTGCCCTCCTTTTCTTGTTAGTCATACTTCCCATTTTTTTGTAATCTGGTCTTAAAACACGTACATTACACACACTCTATGTATATATATAGGCGGAGGAATAGAGTGGCTGCGTTGCGCCAACAGTTAAGAAATATATACATAGATATAGACAGTGCACAACAATAATTATATGAAGTGCACAACAGTAAATATAACTATATCCTATGTACCCCATCACATCTGCCCCTTTTGCTCTTGATTGAAATACTACTTTCAATCATGAAACACATGCATTATCTTATACAAAACTATAAAAAGAAACTGGATCCTACATGATCTTAAGTATATAGGTACTTAAGATCTTAAGTATATAGATACTTAAGTGACACACACACACACACATACACACACACACACACACACACACACACACACATATATATATATATATATATATATATATATGTTTGTGCTCTAGAGCTCTACATACGGGAAAAGTTTTAAGCACCCTATAACCAGGCGTGACGTAACGTAACACTACTAGTAATGGTAGTAGAGTTCTATTGTCTCCAGCTCAAGACAGTGCATCGGCATTGGCACTGCCCTTTCCCGGACTGCCTCCATCCCCCGACCTTCTGTAGTGACAGCTTCTCCTCAATCACGCGCTCCCTCGCTGCCGTGTCCACCGGTTTGGCGCCACCAAAGATGCGCCTCTGGGACTTCCCTGGTGCTGGGAGATGAGGGCTCCCAAAGGGTTTGGTACGTGCAGCCAGGCGCAGTTTTGGTCTATAGCCGGCAAAGTTGTACGACTTGGTGCCGCCACGACCATAACCATTACTATAACGACCGAATGTTGACAAGAATTGCCGCGGTTGAACTCCAGATTGCTGCATTGCTTTCTGTAAGCCGATAAACCCCTGAGCTGCCTTGCGTGCTTGAGCCCTCGTAGCCACGAGCGACTCCCGTGCCAGCCTTCCAGATGCGCACTGCTGTACCAGTTCGGCAAGATGGGGAACATCCCGTCCGAGTATAGCGGGGTGTGGGAGGTTTGGGGTCACTTTCGCATTTATCTTGTAGCTTCTGTGTCCTATCTGGACCTCTACTTGTGCAGTCGGGTACTTCCTTTCGTCGCCATGAATGCAAGTAATGCCGCCTTGATTGTCATGTGCGATTTTTGTCGGATCCACCAGGTCCTCTCTGATCAGCGTCTGTGTGCTGCCAGTGTCCAACAGCAACGGGACCGTCTTTCCCTCCACCTGGCCTGTGAGATCAAATGCTGTCTGTGGGAACCTGATCTTCCTCCCCCCAAAGAAGGACGTAGCCCCTGTGGATCGGGCGTCTTGTTTGGACATAGGACAGTCCCTCGCAAAATGGCTGGGGTCCCCGCAGGTGTAATACGTAGCTACCCCGCTCGTTGTCCCGAGATGGGCGCGGCTGCGGACTGGTGTTGTTTTCTTCCCCTCCTCCTCCTCCTTCTTGCCGAGCTCTCTCTCGTGGGCCTCCAAGTAATGTTGGGCCATCCCGGCTAGTTCGTCCAATGATGACGGGCCCTGCTCCCGAAGCCGTACTGCCAGGTCTCGTGGGAACGCCTCCAGAAACTGTTCCTTTACGAACAAATCCCTGAGGCCCTCGTAGCTCTTGGACGATTCAGCTAACTCCACCCAGCGCTCAAGGTAGCTGGTGAGCCTCACGATAAACTGTCGCGGGCTTTCCCCCTTTTCTGCCTTGTTCTGTCGGAACTTGGCCCGAAAGCCTTCTTCTGTAAGATTATATCTTTTTAGCAAGGCCTGTTTTACCGCCGTGTAGCTCCGTGCCTCGTCCTCCGGGAGTCTGGAGTATACTTCAAGAGCTCTGCCCGTCAACAGCGCACTTAAGTGTGCGGCCCATTTGTCCTCGGCCCATTGGCTAGAGGTCGCAAATCTCTCAAACCTTAACAGGTACGCATCCAGGTCATCCTTTTCATCCACGAATGATGGCAGCCTCGGTACCTTGGCCACGGCCTGCCCCCCTGTCGGCGGTCCCACAGCGGCCATCTTCACGTCCAACTTCTTCATTTCCAGCTGATGTTTTCTTTCTGCCTCCTTCTCTCTCTCTGTCGCTTCCCTAGCCTTCTCTCTCTCTGCCGCTTCCATCGCCTTCTCTCGCTCTGCCGCTTCCCTCGCCTTCTCTCTCTCCTCGGCTTCCAGCTTCAGCTTCTCCATCTCGGTCTGTCGTTTCCTCTCCTTCTCTTCATTTTCCACCTTCTGCCTTTCCGCTTCAAACTTCAGCTTCTCTATCTCTATCTGTCGCTCCTTGTCCTTCTCTTCAGCCTCTATCTTCAGCCTTTCGGCTTCTAACCTCAGCTTCTCCAGCTCTCTCTCTTCCGCCCTTTCGTCCCTTTCCCTGGCCTGTTGTTCTCCCACAAACCTCCGTAGTTCTTCCCCTGAGAGGCCTAGCTTCTCCCCGGCCTCGAGAAGATCCATTTTACTCCCTCCTTTTTTTTCTCTCTCTCTGCCTTCTGTTGACCCGACTATGCTACAGTTTATTTACTTCAATCGGCCCGTCTGGAATGTCAGGGAACAACCCTCGGGAGTGTCTCGCCGGCAGAAAGCAACACCACTCAAACTGCAGCTTATCAATTCCAGATGTTCCCATTCACAGTTCCCACAACAGCCTCTTCATACGACACAAGTCAACAGTTCACAATATTCACGAAGAATGTACTTGCACGTCCAAACCGTTAACAGCACTGTCTTACTGTTACTCACGGTTACTTGTTCTGTCTTGGCAAGGGCATTGGTCTTGCTTGGTCTCACTTCTCATGTGGATCTGCTTTGGCTGCACCCAGTTCCTTGGTGGCCCCTTGGTCTGTACTGTTCGTCCGTCGGGTCTTCACCTACCGGTGTTTTTGCCCTCGGTGAATCATCCCACTTCTGACACCACTTGTCAGACAATGAGCCGAGTTGATCGAGTTGAACGTTTAATGCTTTTCCTAAGAGGTCTACAACAGTCCTCCACCGGACCTTCCCCTCCTCTAGCTTGGGCCCTACTGCCTGATTCCGGGCCCCACGCTCCTCTCATTGGGCCTACCCAAAGCCATTACATGTGCTCCGTCACAGCAGTTGTCAACTGTACATCGTTTTAGAGGATGGTGCACTAGTAAGAATTAATTAAGACTATGTTTATGATGTCATTCATGTAATTTCATTGGCTAAAACCATCTAGATTGGTTATTCTCGTACAACGTAATAGTATACAACAAATTTATAAAAAAAAGGTTTATAAGATGATATTAAGGTCTACTAAAACGAATGTTGCTCAAAGTAACACAAGTGACGTCATAAATGACGCCATGCATATCTAGACAGAGCTCTCGGGGGATTTTTAGACTGGGTACCATTTCAAACCCCTCACAACTCTTGGACGGTATATCGTATGGCCACCAAATTTTCAGAGAATGCAGTGCTAGTGAATGAAAAAAAAAATGTAAGAACGATGTTTATGTCGTTATGACGTAATTATGACGCCATAATGTGATTTTTTTGCCACAACCGTCTAGATAGGTTAGTCCATATCTTTACCCTATCTAGACCGGGGCGGGGGTTAAAAGTGTCCGCGCCAACTTTATCAATAACATTCAATAAAATTTTAAGTAGGTTCCATCATTGAAAATACAGACTTTCTGCTATGTCGATGACGCCATTGGTCAAAATATCAAATGGCGGACCATATCATAATATCATGTATATAACAGGTAATTTTCCTTGAAATCTCATCACTAGTTAGATTTTTTTGAATGTTCATATGTCTGTGTTAAGTCTATTATTAATGTATATTTAGGCTTCATATGGAAAATAAAACTTTTAATTGATGATTAGGCCATGTTGATTTGATTATATGGATGACATCCGCGCGCGCATGAATTTTCGGCCGTTTCCAAAAAAAAAAGTTTTCAACCATACTGTAAATCGTGCAAAACAGTTGCTGAATGAGCAAAAATATACCATAAGTTGCAAGGAAAACATTTAGAAACGATACCAATGTCGTAGAATGCCAAAATCAAAGGAAAAAGGACAAAAATGTAAAGAAATTAATTCGAAGAGTAGTAGATTATTCGCCATAACATATTCTGTGCCATTTGTTCCACCTTCTTGACCACGTAGATTTCATGTAGAAAGCAACTTTTTTTTTGCAAAACTTTTTTTTTATTCGCACGCGCGCATCAGTTTTGGGGTTCCCAGAGGATGTCATCCATATAATCAAAGCAACATGGCCTTAAAGATGACAAAAGCTTAAATTTCCATGGCGTTATTTTGACCAATTATATTACATGACGTCATAATACGCAAACATAATGACATAAACAGTGTTCTCATAATTTATGTTTACTATCATACCATCCTCTGAAAATTTGTTGGTCTTACGATATGAGTTTTGAGGGGAGGGGGGGCAATGCGCTACCCACCGGTCCCACGAATCACCCCCAAACACCGGTCTAGAGTGATAGTAAACACCAAAAGTGTTTTTATAATATTAGTGTCTACTAAGGCCTATGCTCCTCATAACAACACCGGTGACGCTTACCAAAGAAAT